CTGGTATTGGTCAGCAAACAGGACCGATACAATTTCGAACACTTGATAGACAAATACCAGATTTTACAGTAGATGAACATATCAATAGAACTTGTTTAAGTGATGAAAGTTGTTTAATTACATGGAATATTGAATCAGATGGTGGAGCACCCATTGTTCGAACGGAAATACTTTATGCACAAGTAAGAGATTATTTATAATAGCGACATTATCAGACAAGAACTACAGGGGGGTTCAGTCTCAGCAGGAGATTTTGAGCTCCTTCACTCCCTTACCAATGGTTGAGTTTTTCTTAAAGGGACAGACATTCATTTTTAACTTATTCAAACATATTATACTTTATCGTTTTTGTTTAAGGCGAAAGATGATAATGGTCTAGATATTGAAGGACCATTAAGTACACCAATATTAATTGATTCATCAATAACTGAATATGAATTATCGGGATTAAAACCAGATACAAATTATATTGTTATAATTAAATTATATAATGACGTTGGTGTAGCTGAACAAAAGTTACATATAAAAACAAATGAAGAAACTAATGGTAAGAAAAAAAAATATATATATAACAATGAAATATTTTTTCATATTTAAAGAGAGACAAATTTTGATAATTTAATCTTGTCAATTAAGTTTTCATATTGAATAATCGTTTGTGTAGTTATATAATCATTAAAAAAAAATATTTCTATTTTCTTTAGAATATAACACATTACGAAAAAATTCATTACTAACAGATGATCGAAAAACTAAACCAAATAAATGGATTATTGTTGGTATCATAATAGCTATTATTTTTTCAGCTGTTGCTATTATTACTGTATGTGTTCTATTACGTGTTTTTCGACTTGATGGCAAACATGAAACAACGAATTCGTAAGTTATTTAAGATTTGTTTTTTGTTTTCATCTTAAATATGTTTCTTTTTGTCAAAGTTGAAATAATAGAATGTTTGTTTAAGAATTAAGTTGAACATTGCAAAAATTATTTCTTTGGTGAACTTATCGAAACATGTTAAAATGAATAACTATTTGAAATGGATAGTGGACTCCCCTCTAAGACTTATTGTATGAAAAAAAATCATTGTCACTGTGTCAAAAAATGAAGTTGAAATAAATGATTACTAAGCCGAAAATCGATCATATGGAATCTGATGAACATTAAAAAAAATTCTAATATGATTGAGCTTAGATTTTCTTGATCTATTCGTGTATAGATTGTGATTTTATTCGTTCATCTCTGTCGTTAATTAGAAAACTGGATATTTATCAATTTTTTGTTCTTTTTTTTCTTCTTCAATAGTGATCATCAAACAACACCTATGATGAATGGTGATCATCATTCTGATAAAACAAATGGATTTACTAATAGTCATTCCTCATCAACCAAGGTATTTAAATAGACAAGAAATATTTTACATTTTTATGAAAATTTTAAATAGTATAAGAAATCAATTTCAACTTCTCGTCAATTATTTACTGATCATGATTCTGTATTAAGACAGGCTATATGTAGGCAAACAATAGATTTGCTTTAACTACTAATGCTTCTTCTATTTATATCAATTTCTTATCAATCGAATTAATATTTGATTTTGTTTTCTTTTAGCTCAATGAAACAGTGTAATAATGAATAATCTTCTCAAAACAAAAAGAAATTGTCAACGAATGTCAATCTACATTATAACTAAAGAGAATGTTCATTATACATATATAGATATAAATTCTTTGTATAAACATTTGTATATAGAAGATCTATATGTATAATGTTGGTGCTCTATTTTTTCCATGCATTTTATCGTCGTTGTTCCTTCCTTTTTCTGTTCGCATCTAGTCACATATTCGTTTATAAATCTACAAACATCAGTGGCATCATTAAAATTTTGATCGAACTTCTATAAAATACAAAAATATTGTGTTGATTTTTTTTTTGTTCTCTTATATGAATGCGATACAGTGTTTATAATTGTTTGTTTCGTCAGAGCAAAACGAATTAATCAAATAAATTTCAAATTAAATATGAATTTTAATTTAGTCTTTGCATGATAACATATATGTATATATGTTTTATAGAGCACATATGAGAATTATAATTTATCTATTGGAAAAAGTTAATTTCCTACTCATAATTGGCTATTCCTTTTAAAGTATGTATGAAACTCAATCAGGTCTGAATCTACGGTCAACTCGATAGGTATTAGCTTTGTGAGTTGAAAAGATTGTTAATAAATGTAACTTCTCAATATTAAATTAAACTGATACGATCAATTAACTATTTGTTTCATTACATTCATAGAAAACACAGTATGCATCAAAAAAGAGAATGTCGTTTTCTCTGTAATTAGAATAACTGGTTTTTTCCTAAAAATACAAGTAGAGTAGATGAGATGAATGAATCAATTTCTATCAAAAAGAGAAAGAAGTCACTTAACATCTGGATATTGGCGAGCTCTATCTGCAAATATAGAAGTCATTTCCTGATCGACGATTATCTATAAGTATTTGAATGTTAAAAGATGTTGGGTATGAGTGTTGTTCTCCACTGTCTCCACCCACATCCTCAAATAAGTTTTAATGATAAGTATAATATCTTGTTTTTCGGATACAAAAGTCATTTGCTTATGTGATCATAGATCAAAATGATTCGCTTGACGGAATATGCAAACCATTAGGTGGAATTAATAAAATCGATTCTTGCAATTTTTACATAACATACGGTTGATTCAATGATTGACTTTTTAATCGTTGTATATCTTCTTCTTGCAAATACCATTGTCAATAACCATTAATGCCAAATTAATTGTTAAAATTGAGGTCTGAAAATGAATACCAACAAGGTCTGGTTTAGTGCTGCAATCATAATTAATATATGTGCTTGCTGGTTCAATGGTATCTGGATCTTGTACATCGAATAAACAAATATAAAATATTTTAGTAAAAATTAAGGTTAATCGGGTGAGACGTACGATTGTAAATATGAGCTGAATGAACGTAGTGTTTTTGTTTTAATGGCATATTATGTACAGAAATATTGTACGTATATTTATTTTGTGTAACTAGCTATATAAAAAGCAACAGAATAAATTATGGTTCTCTCATGTATAAAACGCAACGTTTATATACACAACAGTTGCGGAAAGAACAAGAAAAGAGTATTATTCTGTACACTACTGAGAAAAAAAAGAACTTTGCTTTCGTTCTATGATATTATATATGAGACGAAAGATCAGTATTTTTTGCGCTGTTAATCAGTAAGACAAGTGATAAATAGATACTATTATACTGAGGACATACCAAAAGTAGTGGTGGTCCTATTTTAATTTCGTATAGACGGCTTGAGGAAATTTTCTTTTTATATAGACTGATAGTTAAAAACAAAGCTCTACATTTCTACGCTATTTGATCATTATTCATCCAAAATAATAATAATAATAAAATTTTGATTAGACTTGTTCACTTATAATATGTAATGATGACATAAGTCCATATTGTCTTCTATGTGTATTCTCGTCTAGATCAATTCTTTTTTTCTTTTCCTATCTTTTCTTTTTTTTTATCTCTTAATGACCATTTTTTTACATATATAAAATAATACAAAAGTACTGGTAATAGAATAAAAAAGAAATACAAAAGCAAATTCAATATATTTTTATTTCATCAAGTGTTCGAAATAATCACCTTCATTATCCACACACAATTGTATTCACTGAATCCATTTATCGAAGGTTTTCTTATACTCTTTCTTATTTAAAGAATTCATGAACTTGGTTATAGCACGATACAATGGTTCGTAATTGTTTTGATCGCTCAAATTTTTTTTGATTAAATCGAATAACCAAAAGTCACATGAAATGTGGGTGTGGGAGTGTGGGCGTGGATGTGGATGTGGGGTGTGGGTCTGGATCTGCATTTGAGTGTTCATAAGAGACAATCATTCATCCACATCCACACTCACACCTACACCATGAATCGAGAATTTAGACCATAAAATGCACGAAGAAGATCAACACTCTCCAAATAATCGAGTAAATCAAGTAAAATTTCGTTAGGTAATAATTCTAACATCATCTCGGTGTTTTTTTTACTTCACTCACAATTCGTTTTGATGTATTTAATAAAGGACAAGATGATGTTTCGTGTAAAGTAAACGTAGAACAGAAATGAAATTCAATATTTTTTCTTGTTTCGTTTCAAAATAAGAATCGTTTTTTTTTGCATTTACTGGAAAGTGATTCAGAGACACAAGTGTTTTTTATGTTGAAGGTTCACAATATAAAAGTTTGGTACTCAGTAGATATATAATATTATGTATAAATTTACTTCTTTTTCTTTCAAAAATAAATCCTTTAATACAATTACTTATCACTTGAATATCTTTATCAGTAAAAGTGAAATACTATTTAGTATTATGGTAGCTTTCTCTCCCTCAGTTCAAACTTTAAAACAATTGCTTATTACAGAAAGTGTCATCTCGATGAGACTGACGGTCACAATCAAAGCATTCTTCATATTTGTATTTGGACTATTTAGCTTAGTTTCACCCAGTTAATTTATTTCAAGACGGTCTAGGATAAACACTTTGTCACAAGTTTATGTTCTGTCATTTTTAAAATTGACATGTAAACAACTAAGATTCAGTCGAATTTGATTTAGTTTCCGATTATTCTCTCTGAGATAATATATCTCCTTGAATATATCATTTTTCCATCCATGGAGCGATACGAACCAAATATTGCCGAAAGATTGACGAATCGATCCTTCCGAGCCCATCATTTTCATACTGAGTACATCACGAAAGACAAATGCAATATCCTCAACATCATTTCCGAACGCACCAGTGCCGATTGGTCCAAGTAAAAGATAAGTATTGGAGCCATCACCTCTCGTATTCGCCACGGCTGCTGCCACGAATGCTCGAAATTTAGCCAAAGTTTCTTGTTTCCATTAAATTGAATCAATATTATTTTCTATTGGTTTTATGAATTATCATTTGTTTTTTTAAAGACCTTGCTATAAACCCATTTTCATTCAAATGAAAGAGTGAAGATCAATCATTTAAGATGGCGGGGACAATCGATCATATTAGAAAGCTCTATAGATTGATCATAATATTTTCTTTTTGTTTCTGAACGACAGCGAAGTAACTCATTTTACTAGTGAAACATTTACAAGGCTCAAACAACACATTGATCGTCTGCTCTCCACAGTTCAACAGTTTATAGGATTTCTGATGCTAAAATAATAGTCAAAGAAACTTGATGCATTTACCTCGTCCGTTGTTCTCGGATTTGGATAAAGTTCAGCTGCTGCCATACAGTAGCATGCAGAAACCATCATATCAGCCAGACGGCATTCGTCAGTATCTTCACGAAAGAAACGTATATCACGTACATAGGCTAGTCCGAATTCGGGTATGGCATAACCACCGCCCATTCGTCCATATTTAAGATCAAGTAATGCTCGATATCCGTCAGAATTGTAGAGTATAACTTCTTCTTGCGCTCCTAAAGCGAGACAGATAAACGGATCGTAATGAGACGAAGACGAAAATTAATATTGAATTGAGATGATTCATCTAATTTGGGAGTGAAGTCAATCTCATCTGTACATTTCTCGTTTACACTGGCAAGATAGAGGTAGAAAGTTGTTTAGAAAGGCATGGTTTGCTTGTCGAACAAATCAATACTCACTTGCATGATCCAAGTAGCCGCCGCCTGGAGATTATTCATTCTAAAATCGATAACGATGGTTTACAAGAATAAACGAAGAATGAAACTGCTTACGGCAAAATTGAGAACAATTATTTGAGCATGATCAGGAACGTCAAAAACGGCGTACTGAATACTCTTGTCGACGTAGATAATTTTGCCAGCATGATTTCGTTTCGAAACGGGAAACTGAAGAAGACCGTCGATGGTATCAGCATCCGATGCATCATAGGATGCCATTGAATTTTCTCTGCAAAGCATTTCGAGTTGTTCGACGTTCCAGTAGACCTTCAGTTCATGAGGTTGAAAACCATCTTTGCGCAAGTGATTCATGTACACACGAGATTGTTCGACATTGGAATATCTCTAAATTGACATTACCTACACAAATTAAAGTTGCGTTTCTTCGATGGAATCTTGCTAAGTTCATTCAGTATCGTCATAGAAGAAGCAGAAGAAACAGCTACGTGCACTGAATTTAATCGGATTGATGTTAATCTTTCTGTCTGTTTTGTCCGTGTTTCAACATTGTCACTGGTGATTATTCACGATTTCAATATTCGGATTCGAAATGTTTCAGATATAACAATCTAGGAAGCAAATCGACTATCAATATCAGTCAAAGATTTTTGGCGACAAATTATCCGAGAAAATCTTTGAGAGTATCGAAAGTATGGAATACTAGGAATCATATTTTTCTTTCGGACACTGATCGATTAGTCGGTATTCCTAATCTCCTAAACTGGATTATATTCAATTTCGGGCGACACATTCTCGTTCATAACGAGAACATTTCTGTCAGTTCATTCTATGAATATAGTCGAATACGTCGATTGATGCTTTAGAAAAAGTCGCATATTTCGAACCAATGAGCTTCTTCGTCTTGCAGTAATTCTGAGAGAAAATGCTTTATATTATTGTTTGATCACCAAGTTACATCTGGTTCAATTTGAAAGAAATTTCCCAAGAATGACTTCGCATTCTTTTTTTCTATCAATTGAATAACTTACCGTTTTGATTTTTAACTCAAAATAGGGCTCTTCCATATTGCCACCACGATATGATGACATCGAACTGGTTTGTAAATTTGCCATCATAGTTTGATATGTTCTTTGAAGTTCAGTCCAATCGATTTTAACAGTATTACCAGAACTATTATGATATAAGAGCCACTGACGAATATTTTTGACACGTAGATTAATGTTGTCATCATTTTTATCTTTATTTTGTTCGATCGCTTGAAGTCTTTTGTTAATTGCAATCAAGAAAGCAAGGAGTGTACGTCTAGAATGATTCCGAGCCGATAAAATTCTATTATTAAGTGCCGTGTAAAGAACAGAATGAACGGTTGGCTCGGTTAAGGATTCTAATGGTACATAGATAGACGATAGATTCGAGTTCGGTACATAGAAGCATTGATGTTTGGCTTTTTTAACTGCCGATGTGCACATGTTCGATGAATCGACACTCGCTTCACTTGATCCTTGTGAGCTTCGTTTGTTTGATAGCATTATCAAAAATAAAATCTGTGAATCAGCCGAATCTAGAATAGATTGTTCACATTAATGCAACATCATATTTTTACATGTAACAGTTTTGATCATTTGAAATAACTTACAATCGTTACTCTCTGCAGATTGACAGTCTTCCTTCCCACCATATGTTTCTTTTCTTTCTTTTCAATGACGAGTTGCTTGCGCAATTCACCAGTTTACTTTCTTTCGTCATATAATTGCATGTATGAGTCATACCCCATCCATTTGCCCGAACAAAATCTTATAAAAACAATGTGTTTTATAACACAGTATGAGCGTGAATTTCCGACTTATGAGAAACGTCGCACAGTTTTCTATTCAAATTCAATAAAATGAGATGAAAATAACGTCTGATCGATAAATGAAATATTTCTTCGTTCGAACTGATCAAGATATTTGTTTTATTTATCTCGAGATCGATCTAGTTTGATAATAAGAAACAAGATAAAAATTCATCACTTGATATTTTCAACGATAAATTCGAATCTGAATTGAATCTCTCCATCTAAAAGAATTTTATGAGGAAAGTAAAAAAAAAGTCCTAAATTCATCCACAAAGTGTCTTAGAGTCGGAGACACTGCGCGATTTTCTGATTGGAATAGAGCAAAAGAACATAGAAGTTAGAGATCCAACAGATTCTTGCTACATCTTCTCGATATATTTCTCCTCTTGTCTCAAGGTTATTTTCTCTCGATCTCTGCTAATCTTTCTCGTTTGGCTTGATGCATTAAGTCTCCATTCTCCGGCTTTGGTGAAGCATGATCAGTAATTCGTGTTGAAGTATATAGTGACAAAAGTGAATTTTCTCTCCCACCTGCCCCATAGGCCGTGACAAACATTTTCGACATCCTAATTTGGATTTTCAGGCCTTTAAATTTTGGTTCGTCGAATGATGAGATTTTGGGTGTGAGTGGATGAATGTGAGTGTGGGCGTAGTTGAAGGCAAGATCAACACATCCACATCTACACCCTTATTATTGATAAAAAAGAAAATAAAGGAAATACTCAAATAATGATAACGACATCAACAAACAATTATACATTTACAAATACTGCGGAAAATTTGATACATGTCGAAGATATTCAACATATTGATTTGTCTTATATTGAAGAACATGAAGATTTACCTGAAAAATCAGCTGATTTACGTCCAATAAATAAAGAACAAAACCACTTGGCTATATTTACATTGGTAGGTCATAATGAGATTCCAATAACAACAACTACATGTGTTGGAGACAAGAACTCTATAAAATATACTTCAACAGAAACATCACAATTGCTCACTTCCATCATCACCAATTGATCCTCCACTAGTAATTCATACTTCACCACCAGAGGAACAAGACGTAACAGCATCATCTTCACCACTTTTGAAGGAAAACACAGTATGTACAGTCAATATCAAACATGAAGTATCATCGAAATCAACTAATCGATCATCAATCATTTCAAAGAGAAAAATATCTGCAATAAGAAAACGTTCTGTTAGTCCCGCAGAACCAATTGCATTACGTTTAAGCGTTCACGGCTTAAAAAGACTAATTAACTGTGAATAATCTTGATCTTTTTTTTTTTTTATTTATATGAACACCCAAACTTTTTTTTGATTAATCATATTTATTTTATGTGTGTCAAATCAAGTAGAAATTTTTTCGACAAATATCTTCTCCTATGTTTTCATTATATTAGTCTTTTTTTCACTTTTGTCGTGCGTTTCCGTGTTCCTTTTTTTCGCGAAATAAAGTAGATCTGAGAAAATTCCTTCAGTTTTTCGACAAAAAGCTTAGGACTATCGCCGGGAAAAAAAATTCTCATTACTATCTTCGAACATTCTGGAATATTCAAATAACATTTCATACATTAAATCTTTAAATTAACAGCAAACTTAACACTAAGTATTTTTTCAAAAACACTTATATAGTTTTATATTTGGGTTGATCAGAAAATATGATTTGTGTGTAAAAAAATAACTTTAATATGGAGTAATTCTATTTTTATATATTTAGGCTTATCCGAAGAGTAATTTAATTCGGACGTAAGTTACCAATATATAAACTCATTCTTTCCTTGTACATTGAGACTAAGTAGATGAATACATTTTATAGGTAAGTTATTATTTGAATACAAATGAATCTATACTTTTCATTTAGGTTGATGAGATAAATAATTTTAATATGAATTAGTTTTATTCTTTGTATTGAGGTTGATCAGAGGAATGGAATTATAGGTAAGTGATCATTTTATTATAAGTCAAGTCTATTCTTTTATAGTTACGATGATGCAAAAAAGCGATCTGATGTGTAAGTTATTATTTTAATATAAACCAATCCTATTCTTGTGTATTTAGGTTGACCCAAAGAATAATTTTATAAGTTATTATTTTAATGTGAATTAATTCTGTTCCTTTATGTTTAGGCTGATTAGTAGAGCAGTTCGAGCAGTGATGTTTTTATTTCAAAGTAAACAAATTCTTTCCTGTTATATTTAGATTGATTCAAATAATGAATTGATAGGCAAGGTAATATTCTATTATCAATGAATTCTATTCTTTGGTATTCAAGATGACCCGAAAAATGATTCTATGTGTAGGTTAATGTTTTAATATTACTGAATTTTATTCTTTTATATTTAGGTTGATCAGAAGAATCATTTGACCAGTAAGGAATCATTTTGATAGACACTAATTCTCTGCTTTTATATTTAGGTCGATCAAATAAATGAATATAATAATTATATACATAATCATCTTATTATGTATCAAGTCTGTTCGTATGTATTTAGGAGATCAGAAGAATAATCTTGTGAGTAAATATAGTATCAAAATATGAATTAATTCTATTTTTGGATATTTAGAATAGCAAAAGGATAAATTTATGAGTAAATCATTATTATAGTATCTATTAAATCTTTTCTCGTACATTTAGATTGATCAGACGAATGGATTTTATAGATAAATTATTATTTTAATATAAATGTATTCTTTTATTGCATATTCAAGTCGATCCAAAGAATTATTTAAGTAGTAACAAAATTATTGTAAGGCAAATTAATTCTATCCTCTTTTATTTACTTGGTCGCAACATGAGTTTCATCCTTGAGGATAATCTAAAAGATTTAAATTATGTTCTAGTACAGAGAGAAAAAAAGAGAAGAGATGACATTTTTGTGCCGTACGAAAGGATCATCAGGCAATGATAATGAATGATACCATATCTATAAATTAACAGTAATGTATTCCCATATTAGACTCATAAGAAGATTTATTAGATCTGCATAGCCCTTTTGAGGTCTATATTACGAAGAACTGGCCTTTCAATAAATTAATTTAGAACTGATTATTGATTCTCTTTTAAATAGTGTTTTTTGATTAGAAGACAGTATTAAATGAAATCTTCCTGAAAATGCAGGGCAATATTGCAAAAAGCGTCGATTACGAAACTGCTTTTTCCGCTATAGAAAATAGATACCAGAGCTGGGCAAGTACGGACTTTTTCGAGTACGAGTACGAGTACGAGTACTGGTCCTAGAGTACGAGTACGAGTACGAGTACCGAACCCTCGAGTACGAGTACGAGTACGAGTACGAGTATCGAACTCTCGAGTACGAGTACGGGTACGAGTACATAAGAGTGAGTTTCCTAAGATCTCATTAGAAAAAATTTAATTGATAGTTTTAATAATGATGTATTAATTTTGAGATCGAAACATTGTTAAAGTCATGAATCAAAATATGTTTATTCTTATTTTTTTTCATCATAAACTTTTAAACAATCAAATTACAACAAAACGCTATTGCATTTAAGAAAAGTAAGCAAGCATACATTTTTTGAGGTTAACGATGCGCGATGTGGACGCATAATAAAACCACTTTTAGAAAATATTCTTTCAATAGGAGCTGATGTAGCCGGTACTGACAAGTATTTTAGATTAAGTTCATATAGAGAAGGATAAAGATTTTTCTTGAGAAAAAGTAAATTATTTTCATTGCTTCTTTCCGATAGAAAAGCGGATACGTATATAAAGAATAAAAAAAAAGATATCAGTTGTGTATTTCATCCTCGGAAAAGATACTATAATTTTATCAAGCATCATTTTAATATAATGCATAATTATTTAGAATTTCGAGTACTTAACTCTCGAGTACGAGTACGAGTACGAGTACCGATCCTTCGAGTACGAGTACGAGTACGAGTATTGACCCTTCGAGTACGAGTACGAGTACGAGTACCATCATATCGTACTCGAGTACGAGTACTTCGAGTATTTTGCCCAGCTCTGATAGATACATACGAAACGTCAAGTACGAAACCCTTTTTCTCAGATTTACAAAAATAGCTTTGTACGAATCCTTATTCGTACGAAACTAAAAATGGTTTAGAATTTGTTTCAAATCTCGAAACTCTTTTTTAGTTTCATATACTACTTTTTTTCCAGTGCACACCGACATCCCACATCCACCCTATTAGAGAACTTAAAGCTTTTAATTTGAAGCGAATAGAAATTGAGAGAACGTACCCAGGTTCAAGAAAACGGCGCCGTAATCCATCATATTAGATTATGGAAGCGAAACTGGGGAAAAGTGATGGCTGTTTTCAAGCAATAAAAACATCTTGTAAAATGGCATGACGGTTTACTGCGAACTAAGGTCCAAATTAATACCGTTATTTGTCGTTTTCTAGCCGTTTCGGGCCAGATAAGGCGTCGTTCCCGATGATCGACCTGAGTGATCAAGCAGCTGGAAATGCAAACTTTCAACGATATGAAACAATAATATATTAAGAATCATGATCATAAGATGCACAAGATATGGAAAAAAGTGGTCTCTTTCGAATAATTGTCATTTCAACAGCAACTACAACACTGATGCAATAGAATGACTTTCACACTTAATTCATTGTTTTTTTTTCAGATGATAGGTGTCATTGAAGATTTTATTTATACAGACAATCTTCATTAATACTGCTCAACGTTATTACTTTCGACTGAAACACAACAATCAGCCTTTATTCAACTTCGAGAATAACCATTACGTAGTGTTTCTCTTTTCATGCTTCAATTTCTTCGTTTGATAAGACAAGTCTGTAATCTAACATGGACAGGTAAATATTAGAATATGCATTGGTTTGTGCTGATATTCTCTATTATTTATACTTAGGAAAAGATTTTTATGTTTCTTCATAGGAATTTTTCTGGATTTGATACGTCAAAATGATTAAAATTGAAATCCTGCGACTAGACTTATGAAAAGGTGATCTTTCCCGATCGGAAGAACAAAGCATTCAGATTTTCTACAGCAAACCGAGCATGAACAAATAGAGGAGAATTGAAAATTGTCGAGATTTTTTCTTTGAAAATCGAGAAAAAAAAGAAGAACGAAGATGATGCAATAACATGATGTAAGAGGATGATGCAATGGCGTTATGTACTAGTATAAATAGGGGTGAACATAGACAAGAGCGATCATTCATGTGTCGACAATGCTTCCGGGTAGCAAGCAAGCACCAAGGAAGTAGCCTTCTTTCCTATCTTCTGTTCCATGTCCTTCATTTCATTCGAATGATCTCGTGGTAATGCTTTATTGATCATGAATCATGCTCATATGAGTATTCGAAAAGAAGGAAGGACATCATTCTCTCTCTTGATTCTCTACTCTTTGGGTGTAGTCGTCATCTAATGTAGTAGTCTTGTTGCGAGGACTTTGTGCATGTCCAATCAGAAAGCCCAACTGGTGACAGTGGCAACAAGACGGGTTCATCGAGTTCACACGGTATTCATTCATGTGTACGTATGCATGTGAACTTCCCCTGTTCGCGTATGACCAGGCGATCGCCACTATCAGAAACACTTTTCTGGCCGCGCGCGAATATCTAATATACTTATTGATTGATCATGAATATTCTTTTTTTATTCGATAAAAATCATTTTCAACCACACAACAAATAATTAAATATCATTAATTTGTTGTCTGTTCGATATTAAACTTTTGTACTCGATGATTCCACTGATCGGCGACATAGAGATTGCCATGTAGATCGAATGATAAACCAATGGGATAATAGAATTGATTTGACTCTCCTCCTCTCTCATTATCACCAGCAATGACACTTCCCTGTGTAGCTCCTTTTGGCCAACGTATGATTCGATAATTCCAACCATCAATCACATAGACAGTGCCTAATTGATCGACAACAACCCCTTCAGGATAATACAATTGTGAAAGACTATTTCGTTCCCCTTGACCACCGACTACAACAGTGCCTTCTTTTGCACCATCTTTCCATTGCATCACACGATTATTTAGCTTATCAGACACGTACACAGAATGATCTCGATCGACAAATGCATAGGAGGGATTAGAGAGTTGATCTGGACGATTTCCATATCCATTGCCGCCTGCAACCACTATTCCTTCAGTATCATTAATTCGGTATCGTCTCACTTCATGTTTGCCCGTGTCAACGACATAGAGAGATCCATTCTCATCCATTGCCAAGCCCATGCAAGAGATGTTCGAGATGATTGTTTCTCCACTAGTATCATTTCGACGAGGCCATCGA